CAAATGCGCTTTACACAATTGATGTGTGTATGGATTGTGATAAGAGTTGTATGAGCCCCTAATAAAATGATTAAAAAAAAAAATTCACTGTGACCAGAGAGAACCTTCCCAGGTGATGCTACTGGATGCACTAACTCAGAGTGGGTGCTCAATGCTTGCCTAGTGGAAAAAATCCATCCCATGAAAGCTCTGCTCCACCTGGCAGGATTCCGGTTTTGGGGGGGGGTACCCCCTCATATACAGATGGCAAATAAGCACATGAAAAGATGTTCAGTATCATTAGCCATGAAAATTAAAACTGCAATGAAATATTCACACACACCTATCTCAATGGCTAAAATAAAACATAGCGACAGTATCAAGTGCTCGTGATAATGCAGAGAAATGGAATACATTGGTGTTGGAAATGTAAAATGGTACAGCCATTCTGTAAAATGGTTTGGAAGTTTCTTAAAAAATGGATTATCAACTGTTCTGACAAGGAAGACACTAATTGTCCCAGATAGAATGGGAGAAACACATAGAGAAAATGCTTAATTTGGGGGGGGGCACTTAAAATTTTTAATTTTTATTTTAGTAAATCATTTTATTGGAGGCTCTTACAGCTCTTTTAACAATCCATACATCAGTTGTATCAAGCACATTTGTACATATGTTGCCATCATCATTTCCAAAACATTTTCTTTCTACTTGAGCCTTTGGTATCAGCTCCTCTTTTTTCCCCTCCCTCTCCCACCCTCCCACCCTCGTGAACCCTTAATAATTTAGAAATTATTTTATAGATAATTTATAATTATAAATTCATATTTATAATTATTTTAATTTTCATATTTTACACCATCCGCTGTCTCCCTGCACCCACCCTTCTGTTGTTTGTCCCCCGGGGGTGGGGAGTGTATGTTGATTATTGAGGTTGATGCCCCCTTTCTCCCCCTTCTTCCCCTGTTTTCTCCTTATCTCATGGCATCGCTACTCTCATTATTGGTCCTGAGGGGTTTATCTGTCCCGGATTCCATGATTCTTAATAAAAGTGAGACTCACTAGACCGATAGAGGCCAGAGTAACCCCTGAGACTGTTGCTCTGAGATACCCTTTACACTTGGTACTGAAACGACTCTTGGAGCTCATCTTTCACCACAGACTGGCTCGTAAAATAAGCAATTTCATCACCTGTGAGTACTGTGCTCATTTAAAATATGATTTATATGAGCCTCACCAGTCACTGTTTCCCCAAAAGCAAAATGAGAAAGAAAGGGGAGATGGGGAGGACAGAGCATCTAGATGAATGGAAATAGGAAAATCAGAAC